AAAATAATTTTTATTTCTCTCTTCAGCCAGAAGGGCTACTAAAGCAGCTTGTGGGCACTAAGTACCAGCCCTGCCTGCAGGTTTATAATGGAAAAAGGCTTGACAGAAAGGGAAGAAAACATTAAACAGTCTTTCAACAGGGCTTGCAGAATAACCTTGCTTACCCTCTCATCTTCTTCTCTTCTGAACATAATTCATTCAGGAAGATAATTTTACAGCCACAACATTTCTGACTTTCTAATATTTTTTTCATTTAGGAAACATTTGGGTGGAGGCAGTGTCTCTTACAGCAAAAGCAGTTACATGTGCTGTCTATTCAAATTAATCATGGTATTATCTTGGACTTTGCAGTGTATGTGGGTATTCTGGAAAGTAAGTTTTCAAAATGTACAAGATAAACACCCATTTTGCCATCAATTGCATGTATCTAATGTCTTATCTAATGTCCTTTTGCTTCATTCCTTTTATACATGAAAGTGAATTTTATGGGTTACCATGGGCCAGCCAGTCCCTCAGCTTAACTTCATGGTTACTATGAGGATCACATGGCAGGGGCAGAAGGGATGCACCATAAATGGAGTCTAAAGATCCTTGGAAGAGTAGGAGGGATATGTAATTTAAAAATCCTGCTAAGATATAAGTGAGCTTTCCACTGTGTATCTGATGGAAGTGGTATCTGGACCACAGAAGCTTATACCACAATAACTTTTGAAGGCTTTCATGTTCCAGAACACATCTCTAATGAAATAAACCTTATACATGTAAATTTAGTTGAGGCAAACCAAGGCAGAAAAGACTTACCCAACCCGACTCACAGAGGCTGTTGATACATTGAAGATGGAGAGGCAGTGCCCAAGAGCCAGAGCTCTGAGCCCTGAAGTCCCTGGTTCAAATCACAGCTCTGCCATAGACTGGGTGGTACCAAGCAAGCCATCTGTCAGCCTCAGCCTGTCATCTGTGATATGGGGATGATAGTAATGCTATCCTATCTTACTGTTGTTGTTTTCAAAATTACTGAGATAACGCATAATACACATTTGGGGAAATTAGGAAAAGTACAATCCATAAATATGGAGTACTACCATGACTTTTGTGCTATTTAGCCTAACTATTTAGTGCATTGCCACAACAAAACAGTATCTATTACTATTAGATGTAAAGTGTCAGCAGGTCTGTTGCTCCTACCAAACCTAGGGTGCTTTGTAGGAACAGTAAGGGTCATCAAAATGGGCTGGTTATATACATTAGAAGCCAACAAACTCTTAAATGCTGCAGTTTACATTTGTTGTACTAGCACAAAACACAGGGACCTTCTTTAACAAGCCTTGGTAGGGCTCATGACATCTTAGAAGGGTTAGCCTACAGATATTACCATTGTAACTTCATTTGTGGGAGTTTACTCTGCCTCAGCTCTGCCCCTTTTAAATGCAGATAAACAGTGCCTCCCCCACCACCGCCCTGGTATCATATTTCCATTAGAGAATTTCACTGTGATACACACGTGGCTTACTTTGATCCTATGAATGAGGTCATTGTTTCCCTGTTTTAATTCTGACATCCTATTTTCCAAAAAGCATGTCCTCACCCTGAAGCTGTCAAGCTCTAACAACCACTTTTCATCAGTGTAATTATTCCCACTGGAGAGGTCAACCTACACTTGTGAGCTTATTTTGCTGACCTGCCATTAAGCCTGCATTAATGGACGCCCCCCTCAACTGAACATGCCAAATAGGAATGAATTGAAACTCACCATCACGTTTCATTTGCATGATTAAAGCTACATGATCTAGAATGTGTATAAATTATGCGACAACTTAAAAAATTGCCACTGTGCACAATATAAACAAATGCTGAAACAGTACAGAACAATTTGAGGCGAACACTTTAGCAATTTCTAACTGAGGTTAGAGACATGTTAAGTGCACAGTAGCTGGAAGGACTGAAGCATCAATATGTTGAATACAGATGATCCTTTACTCAGTCAACAGTAGCACTAAACAGAGTTATCAGATTGCTTGCAGGTTATAGGTTATACTTGCCAGTTTTTATTGTACCATCTTGTGCTGATCTTCCTGGTTCATTTGAGGCATGGGTCCTCGAACTACGGCCCGCGGGCTGGATCAGGCCTGCCAGGCCCATTTACCCGGCCTGCCTCAGAGATTTGGGACTTGCTGTGCCCTGCGTGTGGGGAGGTGGCGGCTTGCTCACACGGAGATCGCTTTGGACTCGGAGAAAACGATCTCCAAGCGAGCAAGCCGCTGCCTTGTGCGCCCGCCGCTGTCTCGCCCCGCGCGTCCCACCCTCGCCTCAGCGCACATGTGCGTCACCCCCACCCTCTCGCCGGCCCACACCCAGCACCAGCACCTATCAACTGGCCCCCTGTTGAAAAAGTTTGAGGACCCCTGATCTGAGGTAATGTGATCAAAATAGTAATTGACAAGGCTCCATATGGTTAATAGATGGTAGAGATGCTGATTTGGCACTCCTGAAACTTGCAAACTCCTCTCTCTTAAATTTGCACCTCTTTGTGGGGAACATTTTAATTCTTGGGACCAAAAGTGTAGGGTAGTGAAGGCTTAAAAAGAATAAGTAATAAGTAAAATTGTACACTGACTTTTAGTGGGTTATAGATTAATGTGCATCAGGAACTGCTGTTAAAAGACCATGAAAGACTTGCTTTCATTCTTGTGTCTTTACTGCACTGGTTTATCAGTTTTTCAGGGAGAGTTGTTACAGGTAGGAAAATACAAGGAATGTTGAAGTTCCCTTAGGATAAAATTTCCTGTTGTGGACAAAACATGGTGAAGGTGAATTTACCTTTTCCACAACTTTCCTCTAGAATTGGTAAAATATGCCGGAATTTAGCCACAATGCAGTTTCTCAGGTAATCTTGGACCTTGAACACCTGCCCATAAGATGCTGTAACTCAGGCTGCTTCGAGACACCACCTCATAAATGGTACAAGTCTTGGGAATCAGGTTAATCTTGGCCATGGTGAAAAAAGGCAGGCTGCTTACCTGTAACTGCCATTCTTTGAGTGGGCATCTCGGCATTCACACACATGGGCTTGTGCACCTGTGCAATGCCTACACCAGGAAAAACTTCAGCAGCTGCTGACACCATTGTGTAGGAAAGAAGGAAAGAAGAGAAAGAGAGAAGGTGGATGGCAAGGGATTCAGAGCGAGGACAGAAGAGCTGGGCAGAAAATTTTATTGGGGGAGTTAGTGAAAATGCGTTGGCAGGTAGGTGGAGATGGGATTGAGAGGCACAACTAAAGTGAAGTGAAAAGAGGTGAGAGAAATTATGAGAGCAAAGAAAGAAGTATTTAGCCATAGAAGCAGAGAGCGAAGGAATTCTGTCTAGCATGATAGCAGTTGAAAAGGAACTAAGGAGTGGGTGCGAACCTCTCCCCTATACTTTCCAGGAACTGGAAGGGAAACAGCTCCCACTCAATCCTGCAAGCTCAGCAAGCAACAAGTTTTTCCTCGTCTAGGTGTGTAAATGCACAAGCCCACATATGTGATGCACAGAGACCATGAAGAAGAACAGCTTAGACGAGGTTACTTTCAGATCTGCAAAAGCCATGACATAAAACCAGAGATTTTACTTTTTGTTATAAAACAGGCATAACTGTAAGAAGCAGGCTTTCTTAGCAACCCTAAGAAACCAAAACAAAATGTTAAAGTAGCTGCAATCACTAAAATTCAGAGTAAATTATTTTATAAAAAATATGCCTTTGTCATGGATATGACAAAAAGGAACACAGGGCTTCATCTAACAGAACCTGACAAAGTAGCTGAAGCTATGCATGTATGAAGCTGACCAGTCCTTGGGTGGGCCACGGGAACCCTATCAGTGCTATCTTGATTCTCATGGAGTAAAGGGAGGATATGTATGTTAAATAGGGATGCAGGTGGCGCAGTGGTTTAAACTGCTGTGTTGCTGGGCTAGTTGATTGAAAGGTTGCCGGTTCGAATCTGCACAACGGGGTGAGTTCCCGTTGCTCCGTCCCAGCTCCTGCCAACCTTGTAGTTCGAAAGCATGCAAATGCAAGTAGATAAAAAGGCACCACTTTGGTGGGAAGGTAACAGTGTGCACTTTGGTGTTTAGACATGTTGGCCACATGACCACGGAGACTGTCTGGGGACAAACGCTGGCTCCCTCGGCTAGGAAATGGAGATGAGCACCGCCCCCTAGAGTCAGGCATGACTGGACTTAACGTCAAGGGGAAACCTTTACCTTATATATGTTAAACTGGTAGATGTGATCTAGAGTAACAAGCACAGAGGAAAAGCTGAGAATTACAAACAATTATTTGCTCCTGTCCTTTGCAAAACTCAACATGCAATGCTACCTTGGCTGAAATCCAAGGCAGGCCCTATTTAGGGTAGATCTATTAAATCAAATGGGATTTAAATTAATCATGACTAGCAAGCCCCATTCATTTCAGTGGGCCTACTCTGAACAGAACTTACACTGGATTTACTCTATGATCTCTCATAAAACCTATTCTAGGTTCTGACTATGGAACAACTACAACAATGCAGACTAACAATAAGTAAATCCAAATTAATTAGTACTATAATCTAAATGTTTAGGTGGAACCAAAATGCCAGGAAGAAAATGAAAGCCATTGATTAACGCTTGTTTATGAAAGCATTAAAAATTAAGTGATATGTGCCAGCTAAACAGATTAAAATTTAAAAAACACGTGGAAGGAACTTTATTCCATTTCTTATTTTCAAAGAGAAACACAATAAACAGTGAAAGGTACCAGACTGATGGATACTGAGAAAGTAAAGAGAAACTATGGAAGAACATAATGGTATGCTTTGGTATGCTGGTTTGACAAATAAGAAATAGATGAACTGCACAAACTTGGCAAATGTAAATGGCAAATGTTTGGATATAGACCTAATTTTACTTTAACAAGCATTTATATCTGCTGCATTTGTTCTTTAACAGTAAACACAGAAAATAAAGAAGAATGAGCAGGGAACTACTTTCCATGGATGAGACGTCCACATTTATTTTTTTTCCCATAGGCATTAAAAATGGCAGTGAACTATTCTGTGAAAGAGGCAGGGAATGAGAAAGGTGCAGATATACTGGACTGAAGTTTGTGCTTCAAAATTACACCATTCATTTTAAAAACAAAATGATATTTATTTATAACAACTTATTGTATGTTTTCTCTCTCGCTCACTCTTTTTTTAAGATGTCAGCTTTTGAGACCTGTTTTTAAAATGACACACGGTATTACAAATGATGGCACTTCCAACCAGTGTGGCATTTCCATATTTACACCAACTAAAAAGAAATTTACAAGACATGATAGCATACAATCTTGACATTTAGCAATAGTAGAACAAGAAGAGCATCCATTGTTTCTGTACAAACTATGAGAACAAGACTTTTATTCACATTTTTTTAAAAAAATCATTTGAAATTTGATCTGACCTACACATTTCCCAAATCCATTTCCCCTCAATTCTCAAACCTTTCATCACATTGCCCACTCCTTCACCAGACTATAGGAACTACAAGTAATTAGGTCTAACATCTAAACAGAGCAAAAAGTTCTCCCTTTCCAATTTCTCTCCCATCTTCCAGATAATCCCCATTGGGAAAAAAGCTCTTCCTTGTTTCCTTCTTTGTAATTCACTTTCACATTTCTCCCTCAAAACAGCAAACCCATCACTAAATCTCTTCTCAGGCAAAGTTAGAAAGATACAGTGTTCCTCTTTGTGGTTTTCTAATGCTACACCCAGGAGTCAGGAGACCCAGGATATTGTTCTGCTCTATATGAAGGTCGTCTGGTAGAATAGAAGTCTACATAGTTTGTGGTTGATTTCAGTCCATACTGTGCTGTGTAATCTGTAGTAGCTGGAAAGTGAACTCGTTCATCAAAATATGGGTCTTCATAGCTATGTGGGGACTGTAGGTATAACCTGTATGCATCATAGTTCTTTCTGTTGGAATCCTCTTGACTGTAGTACAACTGTTGATGCTATTGAGAAAGCAAAACAAACAAAAACACACCCGAATTTATTCTAGTTTTGAAGAACCATGTAACAGAGATGCCTAGACATAGCAGCAGATTATCAATTCATGTGACCATACAGAAATAAAACTATTTATAAAACTTTTTCCAAATTATGTCTTCATTAGACTCTTTCACATACATAATTTTCAATGAGGACAACAGAAACAAAGCTCAGATAATTTTCAGCTTAAGAATTCCTGTTAACTACTGTATACATTTATTTATAAAATAACGTCTTTGGTCTGACCATATTTTGGTGAGTCTGTGAAGTCAAGAGACAAGGACTTCCTATCAAATATTTCTTTATTGAAGAAGAATAGTATAGAACTTGCCGCAGAATATATAGCTTTTGTAAACAGGATGAATATGCATTGACTTTCAGAAACTATATAATAAGAACCACCTGTCAAGATTTCAAATGCATCTGAACTAAGAAAGAGCATGAAAATTAAATTACGGGTCATAGGCGATATCTGAAAACAAAGCCAAACATTTTCAATTGTCTGGTTCTAACACGCAAAAGGAGTAAGACAGTATTATTTGTTGGTGAACATTCTTCACATTTATTCTTGTCACCTGCAAAGTTTTTGTAGAATATGGAAGACAGGTACCCAAGATGACCCAAAGTAGGCTGTTCAGGCCATTCACTATCTCCCTTTCCATCATCTGTGGTAAGTGTAGAAATAACCAGTTGAAGATACTCGTGTTTTGGAAAGCGACTGCAGCCCAGACCATTAAGTGCATTACTTAGCAGCATTTATTTTATCTAAATCATCCCTCTGTAGTCTTTCCAACCTTTTAAAAGACCTTTTTGCACTCTGTATCTTGTTCTATTGCCCTCTGCTCATGAATTAGGAAAATCCTTCTTCCTGCTTTATTTGTTCCTGCTGCTTCTCTTGGTGGTTGTAGTACACAAGAATTAATTATATCATAAAAATAAGAGTTACTTATCTGACAACTCGTTATGGTGGGGGTATTGAAGTTCAAATGCCAAGTGGGGAATGGAATGGAGTGTTTTGGAAAAGAATATGGTTGCCATCCTGAACAGGAGCATTTTACACTGAATATTATTTGCAGGTTCCAATTGTATATCACACTGTTCTATAATTAGTACAGCCAGCATGGTAAGCACACGGTTGAATCCATAGGGGGTCAGTGGCCTTCTGCCCACTCAACAAAACATCCTCTGACCCTCTTCCCTACTGCAGCTCCTGTTGTGCACTCTGAAAACTGTTCTGGTGGATCTCCCACCCTGCTGGTGGAAGGCCAGTGCTGAATACAGTAATAGCATGGTGAATCCATTTATTCCTACGGTTTTGATTGCAGTTAAGCTGCCTTAAAGAATGTGACTTGCTCTTCTCTATTCTAGTCATCTATGTCTTCTTAGTTTTATACATGTTATGTCAACCTTCTGAACAAAGCAACCCTTTCCAAAGGTGCAAAATAAAAGTCCTCTGAATCGAGCTCATTCATTGTTTCCAGCATTCTTCCATTAGTAGCTCATGCTGTGACACTTTTACCAACCTCCTCCTGGAAAAGGTACTTTCAGAGTTGCTTCTTTTTTTGCTAATTGCAAATCTTCTTGTGCCACTGACTTTCTAATTTTACCCCATGTAGTCGTACTTTAAGAATTTATAATCAAGTTATTCCTGTGTGAAGAATGTTTTTTTGCATATGTCATAGCACATCATTTGCAAATATTATTTAAAGCTTTCAGTATGAAGAAGTTTTGCATAACACTGTAGTGTAACCGAACATCCTTGTTTCATTTCTGCCTAGCATTGTTCTGTATTCTTTATCCAAATTTCTATTTAGTTTTACTTATGGCACTGTTTCTTATAGGAACAGACTACAGGATTTCTCAATATAGTCTTGCCTTAGATGCCGAAAACTTCATGCATGTCACTTGCTCTATTTTATTCTGGAGTTAAATAAACCTCATGTCGCCAAAGTGGTGAGGAGTTTGGAATCTCAGACTGCGGAGATCGTGCATTTCAAAATGCAAACACACACTAGACCTCTGCTCAAATTCTTTGCAATGAGCACAAAACAAGTGCAGCTTGTATGTTCACCTGGTAGAGATGGAGTGAAGGGGCACACAACTTGTGACACACCAACACAAACCAAGCTCACTAGTCATATATAACAGGTGTTCAACAATTCTCCTGTCTGTGCAGTTCTAGACAGGAAGTAAGACAGGAGGTATATAAAGTCTGTGGTGGATTGCCAGACATAGCTGCTTAATAGATTACAAGTTGTGCAGACCTAAGGTAGAGAAAGCAGGACTTCAAAGGATGAATGTAAAGAGAAGCATTGAGAAGTTCTGTGATACTCTGCAGTCTAGTAGCTGCAATGCTAACTGTAGCTGCAGTCGGGTCCTCTGTGGAATGCTCATAGCTTAAACTGGACATGGGTGAAGCACACAAGCTCTGTTCTGAACATCTGGGTAAGCACTAGTTCTGCTTCCACCCTTTGTACTAGGATGGTGTGCAGAGGGATTCTAAGTGTGCACAGGTGAATGTACTCAGAATCCCCTCCATGACTGGGAGCCCTAACACGGCAGAGTTGCTGATTGTGGGGAGCCTTCGACAGGTATATGGCTGAATATGTTTCAAAGCCCTCCCCAGACCTTTGCAGTGAATGAAGCTTCCTCCTGCAGAGCTAAGGGCAATGCACATGGTTGTACTTCCTCCTGTCCATGCACCCTTTTTGAGCACCTGACAGGGGCTGAGTGTAAGTCAGCTGTTGTAGCATTCCAAAATCATTGCGCAAAGTTCGAAAGCTGCTTTAGGCAGCAGGAAATCATCAAGGAAAATAATTTTATAACCATTATGTTAAAATAATAACTATTTGAATAAAATGATGCACGCTATCATTGTGATCAATACTGGCATACTATCAATTAAGAGTCAAATGATTACCTGTAGTCGTCTATTTTGGTCTCTTGCTGGTGAAGAATAGGAACTGATATAAATTGGTGAAGGTTTGCTAGACCCTGTGGGACAAGAGCAATAGCAGATTAAAACTGGTATTTGGCTTTCTCGGATTTCATGGATGTTGACTTTCACACTTTCAGAAAAGAATGGAATAGGATGAAAAAGTTCAATCATTTGTTGAAGTGGAAGAAGGCTACAAGTGGCCACAATGCCCTTTAGAGACAGTCACCTGGATATCCACCTCCATGGGAGGAATTGACCCCAATGGTTTATTTTGACGTAGCTGTGTTTCTTCTGGCCTCAACTTGGCTTGCAGGTTCCACCACCCTCTTCACCAATCTGGTTACATAATTATAGTCAATATCAAGAAAGGAAGAGAGGAAGGAAGGCAAGCACTTCCGCTAGAATGGATCACTGCTGAGTCTAGGCTCCATCCTATGGCACACGGAAAGCGTTTTTCCAGCATCCATAAAATAAGCATATGGGGCTGTAGCCAAAGCTGTTACAGTGCTAGCATAAACCAACGCTAGTACAAAATTGCTAGCAGCTGCTAGACAAAATGTACAAGTGGTGATTTGCTGCCAAAAGTGGAGATTGATAGGAATCACTGTTTTTCATCCCTTTTCCTAGCAAGTGCCAATGCCACAGCTTTACTGTAGTATAATGGCATTAGCACTAGTGCTCTGACAGCATGCAATACTGTTATTCTTGAAAATGAATGCACAATAAAATATTAAACAGTGGTTTTAAATGGAAAGGAACCCTTGGTGTTCAAATAATACTTATTTCTCCTTGCAGCTATTTTATTGTTGCTATTTTTGTTGTGTACTATGTTTTTCCCACTCAAAACATGAATTTTGTATACAAAAAGTTTTTTAAATCATATTGTTTTGGTTCTGTCTACTGGACCCTTACCAGTATAGATGTCTTTATGTGCAATCCCGTCACCTTGGCTATTGTAATACTGCATAGAGGTTTGGGTCCTATCATATTCGGAACGAGGATCTCTAATTCCTAATAGTGCCGGTGATGAAGATGTACTGCCAACTGAGGAAAAGAAGGTAACAGAGGAATAAAAAGAGCAAGAAAAGAGAAACAGAGAATCAGTGCCAAATAAAAGTTTAGAAAAGACAGAATTATTTGGAATTGCTTCGAAATAAATCGCTACTTGACATGTGGCAAACAGTAACAATAAGCACCTCTTTAAACTCAGCAGAAAATGCATCTATCTATCCATACTTTAGATGCTGCAATTTACTAACACACAACAGGGGAGCAGCATATGCTGGGTCTAGAATTTCACTGGTTTTAAGGAAGAAATGAGTGGTGCTTCTGAATCCAACCTCTGGTGAAATCTTTCTCCAAAAAAGAACTCCACTCCTGGTGGATGAAAAGGCGCTGATTCTGCATCAGGGTCCCTGAATGGTGACGAGGGCATGAGGAATGTGGGTTTGCAGCACTGTATGAACTCAGGCTCAGCATATCCCCCACCTCTCTGTGCGTGCATATTTCAGCCATTATTTTATCTCACAGACACACCTAGAAGTATCCTAGGGGCTTGGGGGCAACCAGATAGGCCAGTAAGCAGTGGTACCAGAGATTTAGCAACCATCTCGCAGGTGGAAGATCTAAGGGGCCAACTATGCCCGCTCCTGCACCGCAGCCTGGTCTATGAACACAGCCACCTGTCCCTGCTCCCAGAAAAGGGTTTCCTCCTGTCCGCATCAGGGCCTGAATGACCCTGCAAGCACCTCCAGAACCTGAAGGGACTTGCAGGGAACAGCTGAGAAGCAATCATGCAGTGCAGCTGGAGGCCCTGTGGACCAGCGTAAAAGGTTTTCTGGCACTGCTGCTTTTTGCCACAGCAACACAAGTTGTTTTGGTGACTCCTTGTGCTTTGGCACCTGCATCTCTGTGCCTTGCTCCTTGTTCCTGCCCTGCCCCAGTTTGTTTCTACCTTGAATATGTCTTCCTGCTTTGACCCTGGACTGGCAACCTGCCCTTTGCTTCAAGCCCTTAACTGATTTTGAAGCCGCGCCTTGCACAGGTGCCCTGGTCCTGGCATTCTGCCTGTCCCAGCCACTAACCACATCCTGGCCCTTACACTTCCTATCCTCCTCATGGCTGGAATAGTCTGAGGAACAACTTACATGTGGGGCCACAAGAAGTCTGCTGGGAGATGAGGGCTGCAGAGTGGCCTTGGAATCTGGGGACACTTACTGGGGAGACTAAAGGCATACGGTGCCCCCTTAGGCTGAGTGCAGATGCTACTGACTGTATGGGACAGCAGGAGTGCACAAGTGCAGGCCCCGGAACCCTGGTGCCAATCCCAACTGGCCCACTGCTTCCTACAGACATAAGAGGCTGCTAAAATGTGCTCTGGACCACTGGTCCACCTACTTTGATATCATTTATTATGACTGGCAGTGACTTTCTGGGGTTTCAGGGGCAGGATTTTCCAGTCCTACCTGGGAATGCCAAGACTGAACCCAGATCCTTCTATATGTAAAGCATGTTCTCTATCATTGAACAACAGCCCTTCTTGTGACCTGAAACTTTGTCCCTCACAGTATAATTACTCTGTGGAGGAGTACAGTTTCTAACTTAGAGTTTATAGACCTTTTTGTCTGGATTTGGTCCTAATCAAAACCAGTCAATCTGGATAACTTCTGTGTGTAAGTTTAGGGCATGCTGAAGAATGACCCTCTTTGGTTTTTAAAGATTTGTACTAGTTCATGGAAATTAACATCAGATATGGTCATATACAATAGAAAAAGTTGTTAACTGACCAGACTGAATGATAGGTGACATTTGCTGATTTGTTGTAGACAAGGAGGGGTGTGACTTGAATCTGTCACGCTCAAGAGTTGACACTGGAGTAATAAAATGATTTTGATTCCAACCATCCTGCAGAAGAAGAAGAAAAGGTCAGGAAAGAAGAACAATGTTTTGTTAGAAGGAAAGGTTTTTATTTCACTTTTGAACTGAATCTTGGTGAACACTAATTGCTGCAAAAACTATTTTTATGTGTTACCTTTTTATAAATGCTACGCAGATCACGGTATTGCCATAATGTGTTCAGCACCTGGGCTGCTGCCTTGACAACCTTCAGTGATGACCTGAGAAGTAAAAGGTTTATGTTTAGCTCATGGTGCATCAGATGTGCACATGCTATGTATGTACAAGAAAAAGAATTTGCTTTAAACCACTCCATATTCCAACCAACGAAAACCTGGATTCTATTTGGCAGACTGACTTATGAAGCTTCTAAAATAAGTGAAGGACAAGATAAGAGGAAGATACTTGTTTCTTAATGAGTGTCTGAAACAGGCTTTGATGCATGGAATACCACATCTATCTCCATGAATGGAAATAGAATTTAGCTACGCCACTGAAGAAATTATCAATATTGTTTGCTCTGGCACCAGTTACTACCTGTTAAGAAAATGAGCACAAGTGCTTGCTTCTCCCAATTGGTGATTAGCATTATTTTTCTTGGGTGCCCTAACCCTAACCCTAACCTGACAACTTTAAAAATAATTCAAATGGAGATTGTTTCACTTTTTACAAATCTAGATAGTACAATTTTTAACTGAAGGTGCAGGAATTATATCCATAATAGTCTGTATCTCAGGACAGTTCCATGGTGTGAATGCCACTGAAATTTATATGTAATTATGATACTGAGGTGGTTTATGAAATTTTGCCCAGATAGAAGTTCCTGTGGATACAGTGACTGGTAGGTATTCTGAAGACTTATGAAAAAGTAAAGAGAATTTATGCCCAGCTTGCTCTTCCTTCCTAAATAGAGGCTGGCCAGCTATATAGAGGCTGGCCAGCTAATTAAACAAACTAAGAATGCCAAAATAAGTAGCTAATTGTATACCTTCTAATTATTCTGAACCAAATGGAAGATTTTCACTTGTGAAATTCTAGCATTCCATACTTGCCTGTCACCCCTTCCTTTTGTTATGTTCACCAGTTTTTCTATTCCTCCCGTGTCAGCCAAGGCTTTGGCATTTTCCATGTTTTTGCTGGTGACCTCATGCAAAGCACAGCAGATTGCTGCCACTGTTTCATCAGAGAGAATGTTTGGTCCATTGCCTCCTGGAAGGCGATTTACCAGATCTCGCATAGCATATTTACCTGAAATATAAATATAAATAAAAATAAAGATAGGAAAACCAGGCTAGAAATTGCAATGTGGAGTTTATGTACACACACATGGCATCAAATATAACCATAATGTGAGGAGGCATACAGAACCAAACAGAACAACAGGGGTAAAATATGCATTTTTAAAATAAACACATGCTCATGAAAAAGAATTCCCTGCATGCTGCTGAGCAGAAGTAGATTCTACAGTATCATTTTTGAAATTAAAAATATACTATTTTCCTGGATTAGGTAAAAATGATTAAACATGATTATGGCAACATGCCAAGGGACACAGACATACACAGATCTGTGTGCATATTTTAGATAAGCTTGTTTTAGCTTAGCATACTTGTATAGTACAATGCAATCACATTAATTGCATAGCTTTCAAGAAATCCATGATTTGGAAAACACAACAGATATTTCACTATGCCCCTTTTCTTTTCAAGCAGAACTTGGAATTGATGGACAACAAAACAGGATGAAATTTACAAGTTAGTCTTACTCTGATGAGTAAAGAAACAAGAGTATGGATAGGAAGTATAACAGAAATCAGTTCTTCACATTGTGGGACTGGTGCTGAGTGAAAGTGTTCCTTTTCCTGAAGGTCTGAATAAGGCAAGCTTTAAACAGATAACCACTTCATTTTCTTTTTCACTTATAAAGAATGATATTTGGGGATCTCTTGGATTTCAGTTACTTACAAAGAAAAAGATGTAAACTGTACAGTAAACAAAGGAAGTGATCTAAAGCTAAAGTAAATGATTTAGTGTAGGTAGTTATAATTCCATAACTTTTAATTAACAACTTCCCTGTAAAATGCGAACAGGAGATGTATATTTGTAAATAAACAATAGCTAGCGGCTAGATTGTATGAGAAAGGCATTAATTCCTTGTTAAAATACCTATAGACTAATTCTGATATATAACTGTAAATATGGCAAACTCTAATCAAAGCATACTTTAAAAACATTTTGATACACAACTGCCTATTTCCAGAATTAATCATACTTAGAAAAGACCCCCTGAAATCAATGACAGTTAAATCTGTCATGACAAACTTAAGTCACATTGATTTGAAAGAGACTACTCCAAGTAGGTTTTAGTTTCTTTTATTTAAAAATGTATATACCACTTGCCAACAAAACGTTCAGTATGAGGAACATAGTAACAACATGAATATTGCATTTTAAAAATTAAACACAACAATAAAATAGTTACTATAAGTATCAAAGAAAGCCTGTGTAAGAGAGCGATACCACTTAAAATCAAAACTGTATATGCTTGTCTGATGGCCCATTCATTTCTGTACTGAGAAATGTTCTTTTTTCCCCAGATGGTAACACCAACAGAAATCCCCTTTGCCCTGCCACTTCAGAATGGATTCATCCAGTTCTGACTGCAGTGATTCTGTTCTATCACAACAATCCCAAGCTTGTCACCATCTCTCTACCAGCAGTTGCTTGTGCCAGATGAAGTTTGTACATCATCCTGTAATTTGTTCATAAAGAGGAATATGAAACGTTTAAAAATAAATGATTAAGCATAAGAAGCAAAAACGATCCTTTGGGGGACCCCTTCTTCATCAGTTTGTGGGCTAAGGACTCTTTTTGCATTGCAGGGAATTCTGGAGCCTCAACTTCAAGTTCTATGAACTGGAACCTGGTGTAGAAAGGCATGAACCTAGTAGAAGTGAAGAATTCTTAGACCAGAAAGTTCCTTGGTGTATCAGACTAAACTGAACTCACAGACCTTCCACACATATACCCAGTCCTGATTCTCCAAGTTCAATCAATTTCACCAGTATAACTTAGAGCAGTGGAAGTCCTTCTGATGCTGCTGCTGTTCTGCACAACTTGGAACCAGAAATTCTTGTCAATCACCTGCAATCACCCAGCAATCTATCAGTAAATCCAGTTCTATCTTTTGGACCCCAGCCTGCCACCTGGCTTAGATTATATTGATCCACATTCTTTTATAATATAAAACCCCAATGGAAGAAACAGGAAAGAAGAATGAATCATCTGGAAAAAATTGGTTATTTCAGCCATATATCCAGCTACCTATTCTTATTTGTGATTTAGCAAACATATTAAGGCAGAATATAATAAAATATATTCTAAAATGCTATTGATCTCAAAAGAAAAAAAGTAGGTTTAGAAACTGTATGACTTGATCACCGGCACAATGAATGTTTAGGATCTGATGACTTTACACCAGGAGGAAGAATTTTGTTTTCTATCAAGTTTTGCAAATATTTTTTTTTTTGTCTGAAATGCTTTGTTTTCCAGTGACTCCTTGCTTTGGTAGAGAAACACAAGATTGGATACAGGCACACCAAAATAATGTATAAAAACTAAGTGTTTCTCATATTGATAATCTAGATAGCTAGGCATCCCTAGTACTTACCGATAAGCTCTTTGTTACGAACATCTAATGCCATATTTCTCAAAGCAGTTGCCACAGAAGAAACAACTCTGTCATTGTCCATTCTCAACAATTCCACAAGAATTGGAAGCCCTTTTTCTTTCCTTACAGCAGCTCGAATATAGGCTGCAAACTATTACAGAAAAATGCAAACATATTAACAGCCTGTCATTATTGTTTAAATAGAAGCAACATTAAAAAGAACCAACAAGTATGAGTGTTAGTATATTTTACAGGGACTCATTCAAACTGCAAAGCAATGTGTCCAATTTCCATTAACTTAAGTGTGGGTTTGGCATCAACCTGGTATTTAAAGAGTTGTCATTATGGATCACAAATAATGAAATGAATTAGAACAGTAGATGAAATATACTAAGTGATGTTATAATTGATTTAATATCTATTAACAAGGTAGTCACATTTTGTGGAAAAAAGAGTCAAATGTTTGGAAAGTCAGTTGCTGAAGCTTCTAAAGCAGTGTATGACATATTATACAGCTTAAAAAGCAGTTTTTTATCCCTTTGGTGGATAAATAAAGATTTGCAATGTGGGGCCTTTACAGAATACCAGCTGTATGGATTGCAAAATAGAGCAATAGGTTTAGTCATAATACCTATTTGTGAACAACAATTAATCTCTTCTCTTTGTTGAAAACCTATCTGTCTCTCACCTAATTTAATTAAGCCATGACCTTCTTTCAACTCTAGGAAAATGCTGGATTTTATGTAGAACCTCTGAACTAGGTAACTGAATGCCATAAAGTTATAGCAAGAATTTATCTTTCCATCCTGCAAGTAAACCTCAGTGTTCTTAACAGAAGCATATTTGAACTGCTGTTTCCTAAAAGCATTCCATTTTCTGCTTTCACCACTGTAAAATGAATAGATACACGAAGAGAAGGCCAGAGATCAAGAAAAACAACAATGTCATCAGTTTCTCCAACAGCTAATATTTATAACAGTATTTTCCTACTGTTATTTTTCTCTTCAAATTCAAGGCAGGGAAAACATTCTATTATGACAAAAATACAAAATGATGGTATTCTTCTTCATGATAAATTCAGAAACTTTAGGAATGCTGTTAATTTTGTAACCTGTCTTGAAAAATTGTTTCATTTATTTACTTCAGAATGACATCATTTGGATATAATGGTTTAGCATTATGAGAATGAGCTGCAGGTAGATTCAGACTCTTGTGCATTACCAGCAACAGTATAAAAACCTCTGCTTCAGTTTCATGTTTGCTACTGCTTGTTGTGACATCCAAAACCAGACAAACTAGTTAATCTGAAGAATGGTTTGTTATATTTTATGGGGTTGGTTTCAAGAAACCAGTAGAGACTGTTCATGATTTAGGGTTTGCTGAACTTGCTAAATTACTAAATTACTGTTAATTTAAAACTGAAGCTTCTGACTTCCTTGTAGCAACCCTAGAGCAGGGGAGTAAATGGGGAGAGTATATTAAGTATAAAGTTTGCAGTTGTTCCACACTAAACCTGCCTTTCCCAACCTGTTGCTTTACAGATGCCTTGGATTACAATGACCATAAATCTAGCCATGACCATATCCATGCTGGCTGGAGGTGATGGGAATTTTAGTGTAACACATGCTAGAAAAGGTGCACTAACCCATGGTCGATCATGTCTGAATGAAGTCAATATAGTTTCTTTGTAATGAACCAAATATTTAACTGACCATCACAAACTAGCTCTTGCATATTTTCCTTCCCTCCCTCAACAGCCAGCAAGAAGGGCTTCTGAGGGAACCGCAAGCTCTAAGGGAATGGTTGAAGAAAATACTAAACTTTAAACTCAAAAGAAGAAAAACTGCAAAATTGAAAAAAAGAGGAAAACGTCAGCAAAGAAATAGTACAGCTCTGAAGGACAAGAGATGCAATGTAAACCCAAGCACAGCAGGTTCTTGAACAGATATATTCCCATCTATCTGGACAACGACCTCACCATTTTTCTTCCTTCCCAATTCCTTTCCTTGTACTTCACGTCTTTTTAGATGATATCCCTAGGACAGGGATTGTCTAATTAATTTGTACAGTGGGACTAAAAAAGCCAAATAATAAATAAATAAATAAATGTACAGCTGCATCATATAGCATACTTAGAAGAGGTTTTTCACTTGGAAGAGAATTTTCCACCACTCTTGCATAACTGGTGTTGAGTGTCTAGCCACAACTATGTGCCTGCGCTTGCCATCATCTACACGTAAAGCCATGATTGTGCCTGATAATCACTGAAGACAAAGGGGTAAAAATAACTAATTCTACTGTATCAGTGTGATGCCAATAAAACTAAATGGTTAGTTTCAGTTAAATTTTGTATCTATTGTTTGACTAGTAAAATAATAGCTACAGGGCCATACAAATGATTATGTCTTTGCCTGAAAGGAAGACCTTACAAATCATTCAGAGGAGAGATCTTGCAATCAGAAGCAAGTTTTCTGGATAAAAGAGGATCAAAAGGATCACCAGCTAGCAGTTCCCTGCAAAATGGTGGATGTAGAATGTTATGTAACAACAGGTTCTCCACTGGATCAATGTTGCAAAAACAGAAAGGGCAAACAATTGACAGCTTCAAGTTTCATACGCTACCTTCCAGTTGCCTGCAGAAAGGTTCTGGAGAGATCCTGCAGAACCCTCCAAAGTAGCAGGGTTGGAACTTTCAGCTAGAAGAGTTAGATATGGTTTTACTACAGAAGGGTGCCACAGCATTTCCACACCTTTAGGAGACTTCGACAATCCTGGAATTGGGCCAACTCCATCCCACTGTTTAATAATAATAAAAAAACATATGTAACCACAGCTTTTAAAAATACATTCATTTTTTTACATCTTGCCACACATTATTGTTCAAAGTAGTAATTTCTTTCCTCAGATATAGCACTGTAAATTATATTGTAGAAAAATTATTACTATGTTCCCATAAGAGAAAGGCAACAGGGAAAGAACAAACCTGATCCTCTTGCAATGTTTTCTTCTTCTTTTTCTTCTTTTTCCCCCAACAGCTTGGCTCTGAATCTTTGCTAGGTGATTCCTTCCCCAAAAAGTCATCCAACTCATTTATACCCAGCAGGCGAGCCTGAGGCACCTCAAGCTCTAAGCGGTAGGAGAGATTCCTTAGTGTGCACACACAATTTTCCACTGTCTGTAAGCAAGCAGAGGAAATTCTATAGTGAAACACCTGGTACAACTGTGTGTTTGAGATATATATATGTGGAAATATAAGTATCAACAGGCTTTCAAAGGCATTTGGAAAATAAGTTCACCTAGATTTTAATTATGGTAAGTGTGAGAATGATTTCTTAAATCTGGTCAGAGTGATCCTTCCAAGTTAAGAATAACTGAGTCTATGCAGGAATAAGAATGCAATAATTAAAGGCATATTCTTTAACACTACTAAATAAGGAAAAAGGATGAACAGAAACTAGAAAAGTCTGGAGGAAAGCAAACATACACCTCTCTGTTTTGTAATTTTAGATTCCCAAGCTGGTGACTGTAGGAAATCACACTAGAGATGCCAAATGTGAATTAAACAGCAACTAAACATTACAACTCCAACCAGACAACTGTCCTGGTATGAAAAGAAAATCTGCAGTTAAACATTTGCACACCTTGCTGTCATAATCAGAAGTGTTCACACATGTATGGATCACATATAACAATGAATCAACCAGCCCTTCACAAGATCTCATTTGTTTCCGTGCCTCTTCTCCTGCAGAGCTTAGATTCCTAAAGCATAAAAATAGAATGGGAATGATGAGGCAGTGCACTGATATTATTATCACAGACATGCATATATGCAATCCATTTCCTGAAGAAGGAAAACTGCTTAGATAACGAGATAGCCTTTCTGGGAAAGCACAAGTATTTGACAGAATTTAATTTATTGTGCTCCAGAAGCCTTTTTAAAGGGCCTTTTCAGCTATCAGAGTGGTTACCAAAACATCTGGTGGAAACATGTGTGAGAGCCCTCTCAAGTGGCTGCTCCCATGCTCTGGATGCAGGAAGGCTCCCTCTTTCTTATTTTTCTGCTGCCATGAAAAGGCAGCTTTATTCAGGTAAGCCTTTGGCATGTAAGCTAGTTGTTGCTAAAAGGGGTTCTTTAAAATTGTGCTTTTAATTTATTTGTTTTTATTATTGTTTACATTTTTGTTCTCATTTTTATTTTTGCTAGTCAGCTTGAGCACCAGTTCTTGGTGGAAAAGCAGGATAACAATCAAATCACTCAATCAATACAGAAGGAATGAAGCTACTGAGACTTCCATAATGTGTTGATGGGTTGCAGAAATAATGGAAGTAATTCTCAACTTTTAACTGTTTCTCTTTTGAACAGGCCTTTGAACCCATCTACAAAGGATATGCTGCCTGTGGCTGCAGAGGCCATGGGACTTCGCATATCCTGGTCTCTCCCCTCCCCTCCCCTCTTTCACTATTTCTGATGCTGCATTTGTGAGCTCAGGAAGCAGCCAGTTTGGTTCCTTCCTTTGGTGAGGGGGCAGTGGAGGAGGAATTAGAACTCAGAATTCCTCTTCTGAAATCTACAGCCTCGGGAAGGGTATTCATAGAGTGCTCTCCCGGGGACCACAGGTTCGTTCTCTTAGCTACTTATAAAAATGGATAGTGGATAATGGACAGTGTTTGAGCCAACAACTATGGCTCAATTTAGACATGACACAAAACCATGGTTTACACTTGCCATGGTTGAGAATGCAAGCTATAGTTTAAGTTTCCAAACTTGTGGGAAAACTTCGGTTTTGAGCTGCTTTTCCTTTTTTGACTGCTCATCATTCCATTGTCTAGGTACATCAATTTAGACACCTGCAGGGCACAAAATCTTTCCAGACTAGGACTCCTGATTTCATTTGGCTGACAGATTGCTAACTACATTGTTTCAATTTGAACATGGTTTGACCTTCCTAGGTTGAAGCAGGAGGGCCTAAACTGATGCAGTTTTAGAAGTGTTTTTTTTTTAAAGACATGTATTAAAACTTCGTTTAAATGTATATGGAGTGGCAAAGAAGAAGAAAGAATTATGTAACTAGTTCTGCATGCCCAAGGGACACTTGGGCTCTGTTACTTGAACAGCAGCATTTCATGCCATATGGCAAACTGATGTAAAATTGATGGGACAGATACAGTAGGGGAGAACGATTCTGCTGATTAAAGAAAGAGTAAGCAACTTCACAGACTCTACCCATTCCTTTGGGCTTATGATCTACATTACCTCCTCTTTGGTTGCCTGCTATTACTTTGACCTGATAGAATGGCTTGAAGCATACTTGTGTTACTTGAGATACTATGCTAAAGCAAGAGGTCCCCAACATGGGTCTATGGCTCCTATGGTATGCACAGGGACTTTCAAAGGAGCCCAAAAAGTGTTCCACCTTCTGTTTTCAGTTTTAATTAAAAATTTGAGAAATGTTAGAATGGCTTTTTCTCTCTTTCTAGCCATTAGCCTTGCTCCCCCCCTCCCCCGTTTTGTCTTGCTATTTCCTAACTGTTTCTTCCCCTCCATCTCTAGCCTTATTCTTTCTTTACCCTGTTGCCTTCCTGTTCCTACCCCTGAGCTTCTAGCCTTGCTCCCTCCATTCCACCTCTTTAGCTCATCTTTAACTAGCCAGTTGAACATGGAAGGCATATCCTTGACTGGAGTCACAGCACTTTCTCAAATTCCCAAATTGTCCACGCATCCAAAAAGGTTGGGGATTCCTGTGCTAAAGATTAAATTATTCAACATGCTCT